CAGTTAGGAAAAAGTAACTAATACACTCCTCCTGGCACATAAATACATACACCAATCAGGAGGCTCCACTGAGCTTTGGTATCCAGAGATGTTATTGGGGTGTCATTACAAAGGCATGACTGATCGTTGTTCATGAGATGCAACTCAATCTCCAGAGGAAGTTGGGCTTTTACCACGCAGCTCATAGCCCCTACCATATAATCACATGGTTGGTCTTCCTGTTGCAGACTGCTGGCCCTGTCCACCACCATTCTGGGACAGCTCTTAGTTTTTATTATAGTAATATTTAAAGTAGATTTTCAGAGTGCTTTTTTTTTTTTTTTTTTTGGTTTTTGATGGTTGACAGGGTTTTAGCCTCATGGAACCATTTTAAAAAGGAACATATTCTAGATGATTGGAAATCTTAGATCCATGAGAGGAGGAAGGGATTAGTTTCCAATCCTTGCTCCCTTCCGAAGTCCCTGGAGGGAGTGGGAATGATTTCTAAGTCTTAAGAACTATGAAGTTTAAAAAAAATCAGGCCTGTAGCACTTTAATGCTCTTCATAGTCACTGTGCATGGACCCAGCTGAATCCAGCTGGCCTTGGTCAGAAAGGGTGGAAGGTTTTACAGTAATTCATAGGCCCCTTCTCTTTCCTAGTGATGACACTGAGACTTCTGGTTTGCTTCTTTTTCCCCTCCCTTTTTCCCACCCCCAGCTCGGGAACTACTGTGGTTGTCCATAAAGGCAAAGGCATCAATGCCATCCACAACAACCCCTGCTTCACTAAGGAGAAGGACAAGGAAAGAGAGAATCTCTTTCCTCTAAGTTTTTTTTTAATTATCCAACATGGGAGGGTGAATATGGCGGACATATTCTGTACACATGTATGTAAATGGACAAATGAGAGCTGTTGAAACTATTCCAGGAATCGGGGGAGGGGGATAAAGGAGAATGGTGGAGGGGCTGAATTCAACTATGATATATTGTGAGAATTTTTGTAAATGTCACAATGTGCCCCCAGTACAACAATGATTCTTAAAAAATTAAATTTAAAAAAATTATCCAACATGCCCTTAAGATATTAACAAGAGACTCAAAAATGTAAACTTATTTTTGCCTATATTTAGAATAACAGGACAGAGAGCAAATGCTGACTTGTTGAAACTAAAAGACTTTTTGCTAACTGGGTAACCAAGCATCTAGCACCTTCTGCCAACATACTCTTTGGAATACTCTGTGTCAATTATGCTTTTCAAAGCCTGGTTTGAAGGAAAAACAAAACAAACAACTCACTAGTGCTGATATGATACTTTTTCCTTTCCAGAAACTGCCTTAAATCTTGCCTACATCCTGGTCCCCAGCATCCCCCTGTTCCTCCTCCTTGTGGTCACCACAGTTGTGTGTTGGGTTTGGATCTGTAGAAGGAGGCAAGTAAAACCATCGTGTAATGTGTTCTCTGCACTCTGAGATTTGGCCGTTGTCCTGTGGACATCGTTAAATGCCATGGCAGGTCCAAGAGAAGGGCCACTGTAAATCTGACAGGGAATTCTGTTGCAGCCTTAGGGCATCCAGAAGGACTGAGCCTTTTGTGCTGAGCTGTGATTAAGAGAGTGAGCTTTCTTTCTTTATTTTGTGTGTGTAGAAAACTTTAAACAACTTGAAGGGTGATCCCCTGTTATTCACTTTCTGTGTATCCATGTATCACCCAGCAAAGTACTTTCATGAATATAGGTCATCATTCCAAAAATGTTTGTTGAGTAAGGAATGACTAATGGACCACATAAAAAATGACTGTTCCAAAGCATTCTGGTAAGCATCTGACACAAAGTCACTTCATTCAAAACAAAAGAGCCAAATTCCCTTTAATTAATTAACTTAATTGAATACGCAAGAGTGGATTGCCACAAAACAGCTATATAACCTCCCTTTATGGTCAGGGTCGTGTGCTCCCAGTTTTTAGGAACACAGAACTGTTCTCCATTGTGTTCTTATTCCCCATCACTATAGTATACACAAAAGAAGGATGGTATTCCCATTTTTACAACAGGAAAATTAAGGTCCAATTTAAGTTTGACTTCCTTTGTTAACTAATTTGAGTGGTATCAGGAAGATTACAACATAGAAACTGTTTCGTTTAATAACTTCCTTAAAGGATATTATAAGAATTAAAACAGTAAATACGTGCAGAATAGGCAGATAATAAATACTCAAAATGTTAGTCATTATTGTAATTTTTATTACTTATTTCCTTTGAATCTAAAAGTAAAATTCCGGTGAAACAATTACAAATATATTTTCCTGGCTGGGTGTGGTGGCTGACACCTATAATCCCAGCTACTGGGGGAGGGGAGAGCAGAAATCAGGAGGATCACCATTTAAGGCCAGCCTGGGCAAAAAAATTGGTGAGACCCTCATCTCAACAAATAAACCAGGTGTGGAATTCCATGTCTATAGTCCCAGCTACACAGGAGGCATAGATAGGAGAATCATGGTGCAAGGCTGACCTAAGCAAAATGTGAGACCCTATCCAAAAAATACCATAGCAGAAAAGGGCTGGGGGCATGCCTAAAGTGATAAAGCAATTGCTTAGCAGACAAGAGGCCCTGAGTTTAAACCCAGTAACACAAAAATAAATTTTTTTCTAACTGCTTACTCTACAGTTGGTTGATTTACCTTCCTCAATCTACACAACACCTTACCAGGACTAGGGAATTCTAACACAAGCTGGAATCTTATCTATTCCAAGAGTTTTTAACCTTTTTTTTGATAACATAGACCCTGTATTGACCTGGCAGGGCCTATGGACCTCTTCCTAGAACAATATCTTTAAATGCATAAAACAAAATACATTGAGATGCAAAAGAAGCAGATTATACTGTTGTATAGCTTAGCAAAATACTTCTAAAAGTGAATATGTGATCCAGTGGTGCATGTGTTCTTTATGCATACTTCTTTACTTAGCAGTGTGTATAATTATCACAATTTTGAAGTGGAGATAAGCCTAAGACATTTCAAGGAAACTATAATATGATGTAAAAATAGGGTTTCTGTTGGCGATCGTGTCCATATATTACTAATTCCACTCTGATGTATCCCCTGTTTTCATAAGGAGTGGACATGCTAGATTTTACTTACAGACAAGTTTTGGGTTTTTTTTAAGTTTGATTATTTTTTGCCCATCCATTTCTATTCCTGGGCCCTCGAGGGACTCCAGGGGCCTAGAATAATCTGTTCCCTACACTCTGGGAACAATGAATGACATACACAATCGCTTTGAACATAACACTTTCCTGGTTTGTTCACACACACACACACACACACACACACACACACACGCCACCCCAACGCCCTGGCCTGCAGGTTTAGGTAGGTGAGAAGTATGGCTTAGTGGCTACCTTTGGTTGGTTATTTCTTCCTGTCTCAGGAAGACCCCAGAGATATTCTCAGTCTCCTGGTTTTCTTTCCTTGTAGAAAACGGGAGCAGCCAGACTGTAGCACAAAAGAGCAGCACGCCATCTGGCCCTCTCCTCACCAAGAAAACAGCCCAGATCTGGAGGTTTACAGCGTCATAAGGAAACAAAGCGAAGCTGACTTAGCCGAGCCCCGGCCAGACCTGAAAAATATTTCATTCCGTGTGTGTTCGGGAGAAGCCACTCCAGACGACATGTCTTGTGACTATGACAACATAGCTGTGAACCCTTCAGAAAGTGGGTTTGTGACTCTGGTGAGCATGGAGAGTGGATTTGTGACCAATGACATTTATGAATTCTCCCCGGACAGAGTGGGGAGGAGCAAGGAATCCGGATGGGTGGAGAATGAAATTTATGGTTATTAGGACATGTGAAAAAAAAAAAAAACTTGAACAGGAATGCAAAAGAAACAAGAAGCAAGATTCTCCTACTTTCTATGAGGAAAATACTCTGAAAGTCTATGAAAATGCTATCGGGAGGGGGGCGGCATGTGGACCCCATTTGTCCCTGTTGGAACCCCAAGTTCTGGCTATATCCCTTATCCCAGCCCCTCACCCAGCCTGACTTTATGAGAAGGCGCCTTGCCCAGGCCTCAGCACATAGGAGGTTCTCAGTGAACGTCAGTGGCCTGGTTATATCTGACCGAGGGACAGTGCTTTACCTGGCAGGGTAAGGGGTTGTGGCTGTGGCACCTGGAAACCCCAGCAACTCCCAGTTGTTTTCCTTGTTCTGTACAGCAGCACACATAATCACAAAGAGACAGGAACTACAGAGTTATTCCAAACCCCATGTGCTAAAGCCCCAAGCTGGCCTGTGCATCAGAAATTCTCGTTATCTGTTTTTTTTTTTTTCAAAGAATAAAATCAAATAAAAAGCAGGAAGCAGAATGTTAGTCAGTCTGTGTCTACAGCCCTTCCTCTGCGTGTGGCCTCTGGGGACCTTTTTTTTTCTTTCTCCTGACATCTAAACATAGAATATTCAACTTGGAAATACTTTAGGAACTAAAAATGAACTTTGTGTCTCTGCTTCTGGGCTTATTGGTGCTCCCAGCCCTGAAACTACACATTGTTCTGTTTCCATGTTTGTTTTACTGCAGCATAAGCATACTAATAAGGATAATAATCCTACTCTTGTTTTAGGGACTTGGCTATTTCAAACACGTTTGGTCTCCAATCTAGAGAAAAGTTCCTTGGCCTAACATCAGTCATCAATACTTGGAAGGTCGGAAGGCTGCTATTTGAGTCATAGGCAATCTCCGTCAGCTTCTTAATCTTCCATTTGAACTTGTCCTCTTACACATTATCTTTTAATAACTTAGCAACTGCTTCTCATATATGCAGTCCCAAAGGAAAGAGAGTTAACTAGTCTGTGTCAGAGTAATAGTGAATGTAATGGATTGTTACCATTGCCTGGATACCTGCCTTAAAGGGGCAGAAAACAGAGTGAGTAGCAAAAATACTATTTCTGCCTACTCTGCGTGGAGGGGTGTTTGTGGAGTTACAACTTTTAAGCAACAACAGTGAGCCCATGGTGTCAAGTCCTGATTCGTTGTGCTAAAATATCCCAAGTTCCTATTTTGCTTCCATGTCGACTCTATAATCTGTCTTTCTATCCTTCACTGTGCCCTACCAATCCAGCCAGGTAGGCAGCAAGCTCCAGGAAGACAGGAATCCTAACTGGCCTTCATCAACCCATGACAGCCCAGTGCAGAATAGGTAACCAATGGCTGTTGAATATGTACAACGAATCTTCCAGACTAATGTAAAATTGTCTGAATCTTTCAGCTGAAAAGTTAATGGGACATGTTTTTCACACTCTTCCTGGGTGGAGAAGGTAATTGGGCAATTTTAGTTTGAAAAGAACTCCTGCTGCCTAAGAAGGAGGCATAGTAACAAGTAAACAGATGCTGGGGAATGGTGATAACAACTTACTTTAATTATGTCACTAAAACTAGAAGTAAGGATACATTCTTAATCTTTAAAAGAGATTAAGGTTATCAGAGGGGCCCTTTGATCTTCAGCATCATCTTTTTTGTCATTATATGTGTCATTTCCACTGGGACCCATAAGATTTCATCCTTCTATATTTGGACACAGCCTGTCTTACCCCAAATATCAATTATTCAGTATCGTTTTTCTTCCTACTTTTTCAATTCCATTTCTACCTCTAATATTTACACGTTGCTTCTTTAGCAAACATTTGCTAAATGTTGTGCCTGCTATGTTCAAGTTGAACATCGAGTTTATGTTTCATCATTTGAAATGGTAGTTCTCCTAGGGCTAGGGGTGCAGCTCAGTGGTTGAGTGCTTGCCTAGCACACATAAGGCCCTGGATTCCATCCCCAGCACTGGAAAAGAAAAGAAAAGGGAAGGGAAAGGAAGGGAAGGGAAGGATAAGGAAAGGAAGACAAGGGTAGTAATATTCATGCTGATCTCCTAACTTCAATGGTTGTGCTGAAGCTAAGAGAATTCCTTGTTTGTAGGAATGAATATTAGAGTGTCAAGGCTATGATGGAGCATGAGGTTGGTTACTTACTCTCAGATGATTTGGTGGTAGATGTTTTTTATACTCTACTTGCAACTTTTTCTGTTATTTGAAAATTTTTTAAGGAAAAGCATTTGCAAATGTTGGTACTGTGATTATTGGAAACATATTACTCACCTCTGAGCTCAGCACACTAGTTTGCCATGATATTGTGGTTGAAAACATCTGAGAACCTCTGATATACGATGACAACAAGTCGCTGAGAAAGCTATCAGCTGCACTCTGGCCCCAGACTCAGGCCCAGATCCCAAACCCTACCTTTGCCATCCCTTGCAGGCTGAAGAGAACTGTGAGGAGCTGCCCTGAAAAGCGAATTCAGAGACTTCTTTCCTCCCAAGATTTCCCATCTTTCCGCTACAGAAATACAAATAATTTGTATAATCTAGACTAAAGTCCAATGTGTCTTACAGCTCTAAAATTATTTAATTTCAATATGATGTTTTTCTCATTTAATCTCAGCCTGTCATGTCCACATGACTTCTGAACTTATTTTAAGACCTACCTAATGGTGGAGGTAGATGTGTTAAAATGAAGACCTAGAAAACCTCACAATCGAGATGGAGAAGCAACAAGCCAATCATTCTACACAGCCCTCTCTGTCTTTCTTCCAAAGAACAATAAATGTTACTAATTGCTAAGTAATCTTGAATTATTTTTGAATAATGAATTTGAACAGCAGAAACAGTGACAGAATGGATCATCAGAGCTAAGACACTAGGAGAAACAAGTTTTCCAAAATACAGTAAGACTGGTATTAAGTTTCCAATAATATAAATCTGTTAAATATATATATTACCTTACTGAATAAGAGTTTTCTATGATCAGTTACATATGGTAATCAGCAAAATTTATATCCCTTCAAAGGGCTCCACCCTTGTGTTGTTCCGTACTTCTCTGTTCTCACAGGCCCTGTGTTTGGTTTACAGCAGGAGCAAGTAGAATTTATAATTGATTAACAGTGTTGGTGTATGTGAAGGGAAAGCCTGTGAGCGGTTTTTTGCATCATGCAACTTTATCAGGAAGCCTGAGACAGGAGACTGCTTTAATTGTTTACACCACGAGGTGGCAGTGTTAGGATGCCCCAGAAATTTTAACTTTTTTTTTTTTTCTTTTCTTTTAATTGTGCTGGGGGTACATTGTGGCATTTTTTACTGAATTGTAACATTCAGTTTCTGACATTTAACTTCCTGCAACAATTAAGAGAAAAGGAGATAAGAATATAAGGGCAGATAAGACATGACAATGAAGTTGTTAAAACACTGGGTTCTGGAATCAGGGTGTCTAGGTTCTTAGTCCAATTTCTGACACTTACTGGCTATGCAATCTTGAACATATTACTTCATTACTTAAGTCTCAGTTTCCTTATCTCTAAAATGAGGATAACATGACCTATCTGGAAATGCTGCTGTGAAAATAAAAGTTACAAAATATGAGCAGCACACTTGGACATGTTATGGGTTGAATTGTGTCCACCCCTCCAAAAAATTCCTGTGTTAGACATCTTAACCCCTAGTACCTCAAAATGAGACCTTTTTAGAAACAGAATCATGGCAGATTAATTAAGATGAAGTCATTAGGCTGGAGCCCTCATCCAATGACTGGCATCCTTATAAAAAGGGAACATTTGGATTCAGTTGTACACACACAGAGAACACCATGTGAAGATGAAGGCAGAGACCAAAGTGATGCTTCTACAAGCTAAGGAATGCCAAAGATTGCTGGCAAACCACTAGAAACTAGGTGAAAGGTGTGGAAGAGAGTGTTTTTCATCGCCCTTAGAAAGAACCAATCCTGCTGACACCTTGATCTTAGAATCTAGCCTCCATTATTTGAGCAAAATGTATTTGTTTTGCTTAATCCATGCAGTTGTGATACTTTCTTATGGTAGCTCTAGAAAATTAATACAGTGCATGACAAGTGCTCATTAAATATGAGCTGGTATTAACCCTGTTTATATTTAATCTAATTGTGCTAAAGCAATAGCGATTTTTTACTGTAAATTGAAGTTCATTTTCCAACTATCATGGAGTTGTATCTCCTGCCCTCACTCCCAAATTGTGAGATTCTGTGAAACAAGTGAGGGCAAAACTAAGACAGAGACTTGAAAGTCATGGTGGGGGAATTCCATGAACACAGGAGGACACCTGCAGACAGCGAGCACTGTAAGGACCTCACCACTTGAGAGCCTTGTGGAAAGGCCTCCCATAGGTTGGGAGTTGGACTTGGAGGCCCCAGATATTTGAGCCACTCGACTACATGCTGTCAGGATTTAATATAGGTGTTAGTTCCTATTACCACAGGGCTGTATTCTATCTTCTGGTTGGAAGGTTAGATGTGATAACCTCTAAGACACCTCAGCCTCATCTCAATGCATACATTTCAGCCAATTTCCTGTGACTATATAGAAGCCAGAACAGAAAGGGAGCAGAAAAGTGGAAGTCTTCTTTCTTATTCTTGCTGGGAGAATTTCGAACAGCTAGTTTTATGAAAGACTGAGATCAGATAAGTTAGGATTAAGCCTGAGGACCTTTCCCTAAACGCTCCACTCTGTGCCACACACCTCTTCATCATTTAGCTTCCCAGCCCTAACACACAACACAATGAACAAGAGACGTGAAAAAAATTGAGCTGGAACAGGTAATACTGTAAGTTACTCTACTTGGCAGATAACTCACCCCAAATCTTCTTTTCTTCAAGCTCAAAGGGTAGGCTGGGGTGCTGTCAGCACTGGGTAGATTAGGAGCTGCCTTTTTTGTGTGTATGGTACAGAGAAAAAGTGGGTAATATTACCTGTGGTCTTGAATTTCCCACACCTAAGTTG